GAGTGCTGGTTTGTATGGGAGAACTCCGATCAGGATTTGGAACTGCTTTCTGCAATTGTCTTAATTGCTCAAATGAAAGCTTAGAGGCAGTTGGTTCCTGCAAACGTCAATGTTGAGAGGAGTTTGAGAGAATGTCATTCCCTTCGAGATGGATTTGCACAGAGTAAAGCATTCACAGAAAAGCAGTCTTTAAATAAGTCACCAATTGTGAACTTTATAATGATGCCAGCCATTAACAATAGACCCCTTGGATCCTTCTTTCCTTAATTCCCACAACAATTTTTATTTTTTTTTTCCTTTCTACAAGGTCATTTTAGGTCTTCAGTCCCAATAATAACTTGTGCTGTGAGCCATTGCAGACAAAGCTGTCTTCAGCCTTTCAGCTCACAGGGAGCAACTTGACGGCACTGTAAGATGAATCCCACATCACCAACCCAGCATGGCACTGGGATGATACAGCCTGCAGGCTGGGGCGGCCCCTAGCTGCTTGGGGCTTGGGCTGTGTCCTGCAGAAGGGCAGCAGAGCAAGCTTTCGGGGTGAGATCCCAGCCAGGGTTTTCTCTGAAGCCACCAAGTTGCCATTTAGCAAGAGCTCCCATTGTTGCACAGATGAATCCAATTTGTTTTGCAAAGCAGGGCTCAGCTCCCTGTTACTCCCATTTAACTGAGCTATTTCAAAACGAGCTGAAAACGCTTAACTTCTGGAATTCCTTTTTTTTTTTTTTTTTTTTTTTAAGCCTTATGTAAGTCAGCTTTTAACTGTCTGTTAGTAAACAGCTCCATTACAGAGATAGCAAAACTGAAAATAAAGGCTGGGGCTGCTCTGGTGGCTCAGCAGACCTGCAGAAACCAGCTCAGAACTGCTCTGCACGTGGCACACAACATCAGCTTTCCCTAGCCACAGAGCAATCAGATACTGCCTACATCTCAGACAATACACCCACAGTTAACCCTTTCCTCCAGCTTCTGATCAGTGGCTTTGCTCCAGGGTGAAGGCAGAGCAAGGCTGTGGGGAGAGGGATGGCTTCTTCTTTGTGGATAGACCTGCTTGGGTGGAGGGTCATCACATAAGATGGGCTTAGTGAAGATTTGGAAATACATACCACTGGATTAGGGTCATCTTTCTTCAAGCGGTCCTCCAGTGCTTCTAAACACCGCAGAAGATAGGGGATAAGAGATGAAGATCTCCAATATGCAGTTTTGGCCTGCTAAAGGGCCACCCTAAAGGGCCATTGGGTGCCTCCCTTTCATTTTCAGAAACGTTCTATTAATTCACACTCTCTTAGCTCAAGAAGTCAAAAGACCAAGGCTGACTCATCCTCACCACGGCCATGGACGGTGCTTGGTCCTACGTGGTCCTGCTCCATGCAGCCTCTAATAATAGTGAGTTACATCACCGCAGTGCTGGAGACCTCCAGAGAGGTGAAACACCAACCTTTTCTTGCTAGGATCCTCGCTTCCATCTCCAGTTCCACAGATGTCAGCACCCTGCAGGAATTTTGCTGGCCTCGCAGCCATGACACAACTCAGAAGCGACACAACTGAACTCCAGGCTGGCAGTGCCAACCCAGCCAGCTTACCTCATCAAGCTCCAGCATCTAATTAGAGGCTCTCCTGACTTTGTTCCCAGGCTGACTGAGCTCATCCTGGAGGCAGCGCAGCCCTTTTATTACTTTCTACAACTTAATCACTCTGTTTTAAAGACATTTTCTCTGAATTGCTCTGAGGTTAGCACCTCTGTCAATTTACGTCAATAGCCTCTTCTTTTTAAAATTAATTCCTATTAATTAATCACTATCTGAAGTAGTTTATTGGTATTGATTTGCTCACTTTTGTATGCTGCTATGAGATACCCGGCCTTCCTTGTTGCATTTGCCCTTTGCCCAAGCTACAAAGCCCAATAGAGGCAGGCGTTGCTTAACAGCCAGGTCCAAATGAGCCTTAAAACCCCAATAATAATACTTGTCTAGGAGCAGATATTGCTTTTGTGCTCTTTATTTTTATGGTATTTTTATTTTTCTGAACTTCCTTCATTTGCTTCAAGTTTTGTGACATTATTAGCGTTTTCTGTTGGACTTTTTTTCCTACTGTAATCAAATGGCTACGATCAGTGCATTAAAAGCCAGATTTTCTTATTAGCTCTTCAGTGCACCTATCAGCAGTCAACACCCAGCTACCAGTGCATTGTGCTCTTCAGTTTCTGTCTCATAAAATTCAAGTTTTATGTGGTTTAAAGATGATATCCCATGTCACAATTGGAGGCTGAGCTCAGCAGGGAGCAGGGAAACTGCTGTGGGAACACAAGATGAGGGCTCACTTAAATCAGTCTACTTAGAGAGACTGGTTTCATCCCAACAGAATGGTCAGCAATTGCACTGGGCTATTTCAGACCTCATCTCCCAGCCTTGCAGCTCTCAGGGCAGCCATGGGACCGTTGAGGCCTCACACCTGGGAGGGGAAACAAGCCACGTGTCACCAAGTTGGCAGGATCCACCTCATTTCCTACCATGAGGATGAACAAGGAACACTTTCCAAAGCAGAGCTTTGCACCAGCTTCTTCCAGATCATGGCATGGCATGGTTAGGAATGGATGCTGATGTTTCTGCTGACAGATGTTGCATTGCTCACACACACGTCCCCTGGCTGGTGACACAGCGTGGCAGCCCTGAGCCCACGGCCTCAGCACGGTGTTGCTGTGCTGGAGCTGAGATCCACAGGAGCAGAGTGAGTTGCAAAGAGGCGTCATTTCTCAGCCTCTGAAAAGCTGCAATTTCTCCTCTCGAAAGCGGCAGGAGGTCCCCTGGGATGTTGTCAGCTGCTTTGACTGCCCGGAAAAAAAAAAAAGTCATTTTTCTTTTTAAAGAGTGCTACAATTATTATCACCAGGCCTCAGGGCACTTCACCCCAAATCACACAATGTTATTTCAGATTTCTCTGTTACCACAAGTGTTCAAAACCGGCTGCTTAAATCCAGTTTTCCAAAGTGATTTGGGCATTTAGCAGCTGAAGCATCTCTCAGCAACCCAGGGATGTGCCGCAGTGCCTCCTGCCAGCTGCATCCTCACAGGGTCATCACCCCAAGGCCCAGAGCATCTTTCGAGGTCCTCGGGGTGAGCTGGACTTGCTGGAAGCCTCCTCCTCACCCCACACCTCGGGACACCCAGATGTGGCCAATGGGACCCAGCTGTGCACAGCCTGGTCCAGCAGGGTCATGCTCCCTCACCGGCTCAGCTCTGAAGAAAAACAGGATTATATTTTGTATATAAGGCTTTGTGGGATTAAACATTGCTGAATTTGAAAGGCTAATTACTTCTCAGGCAGAGCCTATAGGATTTTTTCCCTCAGAAATCTCTAATGACTGTGTTTATGGGTAAGTTTCCCTGAGTACCTCCAAGACTGAAAGCTTTTTTTTTTTTTCCCCTCTTATGAGACAGATGGAGATGTTCTTTCCAAGAGTGAGTAATATTTAACCTTAAGCACTTTCAAATCCGGCCTCAGGAATATTGAGATGAAAGCCTTGTGGCACTAAGCTTCTTTCAAATGGATATTACAGAAAAAGCTGCCTGGACATTTGTCTCCCCGAACCGCTGCTCTGCTTAGCATTCTGCCGGCGTGCATCTGCTTCTCGAGGAGGTCCGAACAGAATAAATACTTGTCTCTCCCATTTCATTGTCAGCAGCAGCTCTGCTCTTGCATTTCTTTGAGCGTGGCTCAGTGGATGTGAAGCTGCTGCGGGTGGCACTGCACTGGGCTGACCCAGCTGCCTGCAGGGATGCTCTCCATGCAGCAGCAGGGGAAGCAGCTCCTAGAGCTGGGGATGTGCACAGGATGGGTCCGTCTCCTTGAGGCCTGCCCATGTTGGAAGCAGGTTTGGGACATGAACGCCAGATGAAACACAGAATCGTAGAACCACTAAGGCTGAAAAAGAATTCTAAGGTCCCCAGGATCAACCCCAGCCCACCCCACCATGCCCAATGACCACATCCCTCAGTGCCACATACCCACAGTTCTGGAACCCTCCAGGGATGGTCCCCCCCCCCCCCCACTTCCTGAGCTACCTGTGCATCACTTTCAGAGAAATTGTTCCCAATATCCAACCCGCACCTTCCTTGCTGCAACTTTATGCCACTGCCTCTCATCCAATCAATAGGAGATGAAGGAAAGCATAAGCTTGTGCTCTTCCTAGCAGCTCCAGACCAAGTGTAAATTCAGTGGGATCCATTTTCTCAGTTACCAACAATATTTGATGGAATAAAATCAGACAGATTCAATAGATTTTATGATTCTACCAATATTATTAATTACTTAAATACAAAGCAAAGCTTGTCCAGCACCGCGCATCATTTAACACACTGAAACCCTAAAGTGTCCAAAACTGCCTACACAGACCAACACAGCAACATTCAGACAATCACAGGCAGAGAAAAGTGAAATAGGAAGCGAAAACGTTCACAGGAGCTTTGCTTCCTGTTTTCCTCCTGTTGATTTGGATTCTTTGCAAAGCGAATCCTCATCTCAGCAGCCATGCACTGGGGGGGTGGGAGCTGCATAGAGCCCCAGGTGCCTCTCCTTGCATCCCACACAGCCCCAGCATGCAGGCAGCAGAGATGCCCTGAGCCTTGTGCTGCACCCCAGCAGCCTGCCTGCAATCTGTACGTGTCTTGATCAGGATATTAAACTACAATCACGCACAAAGCAGTGAGGTCCCTCTGCTCTACTGTTGAACTAAGAAATCATTATCATCCGACAGAAGAGAAGTATGGATGATGGATAATGGGTCTCTCCACTGCCCAGCGATCATTATGCTTCTGCCGATGAGGCAGCAACTGTTTTAAGTCCCATTAGCAGATGATGGGCTGTCTGGGAGAGGATGCTGAGGGCTGGGCAGGCAGCTCTCTCTGTGCCTTCACCCCACGGTGAGGGCACCAGGATATGGGCTGGAACAGTGCAACCCAGCAGTGAGCACAGAAACTGGGGAACTCGGTCAAAAGGTAAATCGCTGCTTCCTGCAGGGACTTCTAGGCAAGAAGAGCATTTACAGAACTGTTAATGAAGCTCCGAGATAAACCTGAGTGTTCATAAATGAGAGTCATCTGCTGGCAGCTTTGACATCTGCTCAGCCCTGTATGGGTTCAGCAATTCCCATATCAGAGGTCTGAAGCCACCGTGGGCAGGCTGATCTCAGCAGAGGGCAGGGAATGCAGCTCCCACAGCTGCTGGCAACTGACCATGCTCAGGTCAGGGTGGATTTCTGCCATGCATGGCATCACCCAGGCAGAGAGGTTTCCTACAGTTCCCCACTGGCGCTGAGATGGCTGGCACTGGAGAAAGCTCAATGTGTTTTCTGAGACCTGGGAGCCTGAAGAGCTAGAATGGCAGAGTCCTGGGAACTTTTGAGCAATCACACGGGCTCCTGGCATGCATTCCTCAAGTCAGATGATTGACTCAATAATAACACTGAAGGAGACTGGTGTCTCCCAGCCACTGCTGGCTCAGAGGATTCCCAGCACAGCCCATGCCATGGTTGGCCAAGTCCTCTCCTGTTGCTCTGCTCTCCCCAAATCACGCAACTCTGCGTCATACAGGAGAGTTCACTACTGATGGACTTGTGTAGAAGTATTCACAAGCCTGAGTAACTTAAAATACATTTTCTCAAAGATGACCTAAAATCATACCTAAGTCAGATCCATCCCCAGTTCGCAGCCAGTGAATGGCATCCTTTGGTCCCTGCTGTGCCCCGCTCTGGAAGCAGCTTTCCCTCAGCAGCTCAGGCAGTCCTGGCTGTGGCTCCCCAGCATGATTCCTCCAGCCCTGCTGTGGACAGAGGAGGGTAGGAACTGGGGTTAGCTGGAAACACATTTAAAAAATGCATTCTGGAGGTTTTAGTTAAAACTACTAAAGCATAGGAAGTCACCTTCTGAACTTCAGCACTTAATGGATTATCTTTCCAATCATTCTGAAAACCTTCAGATCCCTCACTTGGAGCTCTCACAACTGTTTGCCAGCACAAGAACAAAACCAAAACCAGCACAAATATTATCAGCTGTTTGGAGAAGTAAACATCCTTGGTAAGTTTCAGCAAAGCACTTACAACAGAGCGATTTGGATGAAATCCAGACTGTTCAATGGTTAATATATTATTCATATTAATAAAATAATGTTTGGAAGGGCACCAAGAGCCCTAATATCTGTATCAGGAGCAGGGTTTTAGTAGCCAGTTGACAGCGATGTACCAGCTGAGGGTTTCCCAACTCCCCCTGAAATTCATGATGGGCTGAAGAGGCAAGTTTCACCCCACATCACTGGCACGCCTCCAGTGCATTCAGCATGGTGAGTTCCTGAGCAAATCTGCAGTTGACATCAAAGGTGGAATTCGGCTTTCAAAGCAAGGGTTGGAAAACTGAGGGCTGAAAGACCTACATCAGTTGGGTTGGCAATCATGGTTGAACCCAACCTTGGGTTCAACCCAACTGTGCTGGTGGCCCATTAGAGTTGAGTTGGTGGCCCATCACAGCCAGGTTTGGTAGACATGGAGATGTGAATGCCCAGCAAAGCCCCAGCAGAAGAGCCATGGGGAACTCACCGAACCTCAGCCATCTTCTCATTCCTAGGCAGGACATGAAGCTTGCAGACTCTAAGCACCATAGGAAAGCCACGTGTATCCCTTGCTGGGGACTCCTCCTGAGCAGCCCCTCACCTTGGACTGAACTGTCCCTCCATCCTGCTGCAGCAGCCCTTCAATGTACTGAAACCCCCCCCCCCATCAGAGCAGCAGAAAACAAATGAGCTATTTGTAACCCTTAATTTAAACAGCTACCGAAGTAATAGCATAAATAGTATAATGCAATTGTAATGGATAATGAATTATGTATACGGCCTCATCCCTCTTTGAATATGCATGAGGCAGGAACTGGGGAAGTGGAGCAATATTGCTGCTTGATTGCTTACTCAGACCCTGGTCCATAAGGTGTCCCAGTGGGGCCTAAGAGGACACTGAGCCCAGGGTCTACATGAACCCACAGTTCCAGGGCAATGCAGGAAAGCTTGAGTCCCACCCTGCTGAGTCCCACACAGCCAAAGATTTCAAGTGCCTGCAGTTTGCTGAGCCTGGGTGGGATTTCTGAGTGTAGAGACAGGGAAGTGGTGGGGTCACCACCCATGGAGATTTACCAGATCTGCAGAGATGTGGCACTGAGGGATGCTGTCAGCAGGCATGGTGGGGTAGGCTGGAGAACTCAGAGGTCTTCTCCAGCCTTAATGATTCTACAGTCCCTGCATGCACAAAGAACATGACACATCCTGGCTGCTTCAGGCTTTCAGTTCTGGGATGTTTCACATAAAACACACAAAACCCATGAAAAGTTGCATACTCTCAATCCCAGATCTGCTCACAGCCATCCGTGTTTCTCCAGCCACACTGGTAAAGGCCTTTGGACAAGAGCTACCCCAAGGTTCCCTCCTACAGTCATCTGAGAGGAGGATTCCAACACCTCAAACAGCCCCAGCTTTTGTAACCAGGGAAATATCAAACTAGTTGTAGGAGCTAACGCAAATAAATTAATTTCAGTGACAGGAATAAAGAGGATCTAATTAGAAGTCCCTCTGCAGTGCCTCGTTATCTGGAGGTTTAGTAAATGAAATTTCAGCAGTTGCGTGTGAGACTGTTTGCCTTGGGTTACTTTTAGGGTACACAAAACGCCAGCAACTGTGTTTTCTCTCAGTCAGTTTCCTTCACTGAACATATCAAGGCCTTTCCAGGAGCGCAGCCACTCCATGGGCGCATCCCCCTGCATTGCACTGCTCAGTCAGAAACTGGAACAAATCAAAGCTGTTTTTGGAGACAGATGGATCAGGACTGTCTCATGGCAATGGTGTAACCCCAAAGGTCAGGTGCTGCTCTTACATGTGAATGCTTCATAAAATTCTTTTAAATCATGCAGCAGTGCCGCAAAAGCCCATACAAGGGGACAGTGCCAACCTCTGTGCCATATCCCCGTTTTCCAACACCAAACATGACCAGTTCATGAGGTCTTGCAGCACAAAATGGGCTCCCCTGCTCCTGGCCCATATAAGTGTGGGGAATACTGCAATTAATCTTAACAGGAGTTTGCATCCATCTGAACCAAGCTGGGTTAGCTGTATAGATTGCATAGGATTGGACGTATAAATAAGTATGAAGTTCTTGATAGATTGTAAGCCAATGTCTACCATTAGCATCTTTATTGAAAAATGTTACACGGATTAAATTGAGGCGCGGTGTACTTCCATTCTGCTCCACAATATTAACGTCTGGAAGTTGGGCCACACGGAATGATTCATAAAGTTTAGATACCAGAATAATATCTTAAGGCAAGAATGATTTGATTTCTTCTCCCTGAACGTGTTGCCATAGATTTTCCTAAATGTTTTACAAACAGTTATTAAAAGCACATTGAGAATCTGAGCTCCCTGGGGGCACAGCATTTTTGTACTTAAATTCCATCTCATTCAGAGATCGTGTTCAGTTGTACTCATGACAACGACCCAACAGGGCCACCAGCTGTCCCAGCAGCACCCACCAGGACACCTCTGGGCACACACAGGACGAGGTGCTGGGCGAGAAGTCAGAGCATTGCTCTGTGCTGCGGAGGGCTCACCCCATCCCCACAACCCTTTGCCTTTAGCCCCACTCCACAGACACAGCCTTCTCTTATTGTGCCAGGTTTGGAGTTTTAGAAACTACGTTTATCAGCTTTTGCTACCAAATAGTCCATAACAGACTAAATACACCGGAATTAAAAAAAATTCCAGCATCCCCTTTCAAATCTGCCTTCCATAGCAGCGCTGTAAATTTCAATGTCATATTCCTCGACGCCGCTGCCCTTAATCTGACAGTGTCAGAGGGATCTATCTTCATTTTCTCACTCTTTTCATAATCTAATCCTCAGCTCTAACATGCAATTAGTGCCCTCCTCGCCCTCCGCATACCAAGCAGGCTGATTGCTACAGCTTTCACTGTGCAATCCATTTAGCGCTGCAGCCCGTAATGAATATGTACATTTTGAGGACCTCGGCGAGGTGGGTCACAGGCAATCAACCTTGAATTCAATTACTCGAGTCAAGGTTAATGACTCGGCGCAGTGGTCAGAGGCATTCAGCGTTCCGCAGATTAAATCAGCCTGTCACAGCTGACAATGCCAGCACGAGGGACTGGGACCCATGCACTGATCAAATGGTGGCAGCCCATGACCAGGCTGGTGTGGGGCTCCGTGCTGCCAATCCAATTGCAGAGCCCTGATGCAATTAGAACCGTGGGAGCGCATCACAGTGGGACACAGGGCTGGGCCAGCAGAGTTTTGTTGAGCTTTGGGTTGGAGGGCTTGGAATAGTTATAGAATTGTTCAAGGTGGAAAAGATCAGCAAGGTCAGCAAGTCCAACTCCCACCATGCCCACATCCCTCACTGCCAGGTCCCCGTGGTTCTGGAGCACCTCCAGAGGCAGTATCCCCACTGCTCCACACACTGTGATGCCAGAGCCTGGCCATTATTTCAGAGTGCAACTTTTTCCTACTCATAAAGGTGCTGCTGTTACGGTGCACGAGTACTTCAAGATGTGTTTCCAAAGCCATCAGGACTTCACTGTGCATCCCTGTGTGGATGGCATCCCGCTTAACGGTAGATTTCCTTTACTTCAAGGCAATCTCACGCAAAAGCTGCTTTCTATGATGAATCCACACTAAAGCAGCACTCAACAAAATCTCTTCCGGAATGTGCCTCCGCAGGAATCATAGAGTCATTAAGGTCAGAAAAGTCCACTAAGGTCATCTAGTCCAATGCTCAAGGATGGTGCAGCTCAGGCAAGACACAAAGGATTTTGCAAATTCCTCTCTGGAAAGACCAGAGACATGGGCATGCACATCCTCTGAACTCACAGACAGCATGGCCACCAACTCTCCAGCTGTGCTGGGGACCTGCTCTGAATTTGCTCGAAACCAAAGGGAGCAGCTGTGTTTGATATCAAGTTGTTTGAGCTCAGACCTAGGGAAGCTAGGACAGAACTGATCATGACTCAGAATAACAGGCACAGTTCTGCTGGGAAAACCCATCCCGTGCCAGATGCTGGCTTTGGGACAACCCTGCAAGTGCTTTGGCTCCACCTAAAGCTGGAGCAACACAAAGCCCAGGAGCAAGACTGATGCTCACGGTGCAGAGCAGCCCATCAGCAGCTGTGTCAGTCCCCCAGTCATTAACACCTCCGTGCACTAATCGCTGTGCTGTTGCCTGCAAAACAGCTCTGTGTGAGGACCCCCATCCTGCAGCACCCAGCCCCCTGCCCCATAGGTGTGCCAGCTCCTGCTGAAGGCAATGTCAGGTTGTCCTCTTAAAGCATGTTTCTGCCTCAGAGACCACAGGAGCAGCCCCACCACCACCCCTCGTGGTGTGCAGGGAGTTATTTAGTGGTGCAGGCAAATTAAACACATAAATAACATCCAACTGTCTGAATCTTTTCAATAGGAAGAAATTATGAGTTTTATGTATGTAAAATAGTGTCACTTGGTGCGAAGAATCTTTTACGTGTGATTTACGCTGTTATTATGTATGGGGCAATTTTTAGAACCAAATCACTACTATAATTTCAGTACCATTACGCCGCATTTAGCACACATTCCTAAAGAATGTGCTTTTCAGAATGGTTTTTCAACACACAAACTATTAGTAGCATTTAAAACACAAACCCTTGGCTTTGTTGTCTTCTAATTCTTTCCCACTGAGAGGGGAAAACCCAAAGAGAGACCAACCTGGGGCTTTGGGGTGCAACTGGGAGCTCACACAGCTCCAACACAGGCAGCAAATGCCTCATTCCTGAGTCTGGGGAATAGAGGGTCTTGTGCTGAGGTTTGTTTGTAATTTTATTGCAGTATTGCAATAGATACACCCTTGTGTAACAAGTATGCATTCTTCACCAACATTAATGATAAAACAACAGGAAAAAGTGCAAACATAGTAGGTTTATAGTTCCTTTCTTCTACTTGAAAAGTAGGGAAACTTTTAGCTCTTGTGTTATAAATTAAGTAGCTAGGAAAACAGCTCTCATGGGCAATAAGAGAAGCACTTGAGCTCAGCTATATAACTTAGCAATGTATTGAAGCTAAATACCTGTAGAGCCTGCAGTCCCCAACTCTTCTCCGTGCTGTCCCTGCGTGCAGGATGAAGGTAATCCAAGGCAGCAACTCCCAGCTGAAAATACCTACACCAAGAACAAGTAAGAACCACAGAGCTAGCCCCCTCCAGAGAGCCTGGGAATATATTTAGGATCAGCAGGTGAGAAACACCTCTTGAAAGTTACCCCAGTTAAAGTACCAACAGCTGCAGCCAAGGGGCATGCTGCTGTGATGAGTTAACCACCTAATGCAGGTGATCAGCTGGCCTGGGCTTTTAATTGTCTAATAGATTCAACAACCAGAATATAGGATCTCATCTGCCAGGCTTTATTCCAGCTTCCTCTGAGCATCTTTGCAGTTCTCACAGTGAAGTTCCCCATGTGTTGGCTGGTCACTTCAGTCACACAGTGCACAGCTCCGTCATTGCACACAGGCAGCCCCGTGCCATTGGCAAGTTGAGACACAAAATATTGCTTCTCCTGGTTTTGAAAGTGCAAGTGGCCATTGTCTGCCTCCGTGACCCAGGGAAATGAGGGTGGGGATGGGGGAAGCCCCAAGGAGAGGTGGGGGACCTCTGCATGGGACATGGCAACAGCAGAGGGCTGAGGACAGGGAGTGCCTGGTGGGGCCCTCGCCACAGCTGGCAGCTCCATGAAGCTTTCAGAAGGATTTATCAGGTAAATGTTATGGATGGCCATGATTTAATTCATGGGATTAGTTTGACTTTCAATTACCGGGCTTCGCACTGAATCACTTTATATTTTGAGCTCCGTAACAAGCACTCCTTACACTCGATCTTTCATTTAGAGAAGGATTATCAATAATTAGACACCGCGGCCCTATCGATCGACTAATCAATAACCACATTAATCATCAGCAGTCTGAAAACAATTCACTCTTTGCATTAAAAGGAATCGGGGCAATCAAATTAGCATCCTTTGCTGCGTCGCAGGTGGTTCCTGTGCGATAGACGCTATTGCTGAGCGCACTGCAGCCGAGCTAGGAAGATTTTCTCTCTCTTTGAACATCTTTGAACATCTTAATTGAGTTTGAGTCATTCTTAATTGTCTGCTGCTTATTTGTCACCACCAACATTTTATTTTTTTTGCTCACAAAAGATCTCACATACAGAGGCAGAGCCTCCAACGGCGCCACATGAGAAAGATACAGAAGAAATGCCTTAATGTCACCCACTGCTTGTGGTGATTGACAGTGGGTAAATTATAGAGGAATATCAATTTTCTTGCAGTGCGACTTGCCTTGCTGGCACATAGCTTTATTCAATGGTGCAACATGTACAAATGCAGCCACCAAGAATCAAAACCAAGCAGTGTGGTGGCTGTGCCTCTCTGCAGACCTGCAAGGACAACAAGCCGTCCAAAACCTTTCCCTTTGCCTGGGTGTTTGGTGCCTCAAACCACAGCATAGCACTGGGAGTGGAAATGCAAGACACCTTCTGACCCATTTTTTCCTAAATACGAGCTTAAAAATATGCAATCCCATGCACTTTGTATGGGAAGTGCTTGATCGATGCATTTTTTTTGCCAAAACATCACAGGACAGTCCTAATTTGCATTGCCACAAGGCCACGCTTCCTCCCTGTTAGTGTTTTTCCTTCGTCATATAAGATTTTCCTAGGCATTATGAATAGTTACACCTTTCTGGTGTCCAAGTTGCATTGGATTTACTTAATACCAAGCAGAACATCTGGTGGGGTTTCTGTTTGCCATTCCTCAGCCATAAGAATAACATTAATCAGTTGGGCCATCACGAAAACAAGAAATCACTCAATAAATCTTCGTGTGTTGTAAAACTGATCTTGGCAATTAGTGAAGTCAATTGTACTTACCCCGTTGGAAAGTAGCCTAGATAGTATCGTACTGGATATTTCACTGAAAAAAATCTAAGGAAGTTGTAAAAAATTACTCAGAATAACACAAAAGCATCATTTTGTTTGTCAATATTGAGGAAAGCTCGGGCTTGCTTGCACTGAAGTGGAGATATCAGTGTACACACATGCAGACATACGTGGTACCTCTTCCCAGAGAAGCAGCTGGCAATGTTGCTCGAGAAAGGACGTGTATGCTTGGACTCCTGTGCTTGCAATATTTAGAGTGTGGGGACTGCAGAGTCAGTGCTTTGTGTCCACAGCTTTTTTTTCCCCCTAATTTTATTGCATTTTTCTCCTTTGTTGCACCCACTCCTTCTGTCCCTCACCCCAAAGAGCTGCACAGAGACTGCTGGCACCGCATCGCTTCCCAGCGCCACTGCCATCCTGAAGCCAGGCTTTCTTCCACTGTCTGGTAAGAGATTTCTATTACAAACCTCAGGTCTGTCCCAAATGCAGGTCAAAGTTGGATGGTCTGCCAGTGCACCATCCTTAACACCCAAACCTCTTTGAATCAGGGTCAACGCTTCCAAAACCAGAGAGCGCTCATGCCTATTTTTCCCTTTGTATCTTTCAGCACCCGAGCATGCTGTGCAGAAAGCAGGAAGGTTTGAGCTTGGAAAGAGCAGCTCCTCACAAGCTGGCTGTGCTGGGTACCGCTCTGATCCTCCCACGTCCTTTGGCACTGCACCGGGATACATCCCTGTGCGAGCAGCCCCGTGCAATAAAACCAGCTTAGAAGACCCATAAAAATAGCAATTACGAGGCACGAAGTGATCTGAGGAAGGGCTGGCGCAAAGAGGCCTCCCTCCTTTTGATGTTTATTGCCACAGCGGAGCAAATACGAACAATGCTGTTTTTCACGAGCGCTTCTTAGCGGGCAGCATTTAACATTTGGTTCCAATCTTCACAGTGACATTGTAGGCTTTCATTATGCCATTGTCTCAGAAATCGCACAGGCCGTAACAGTTGTAATTTATCTTTTGTGCTGTGTAATTTGGAGCAGTCCGGGCCAGAGAGGAACATCTGTATGGAGAGATCGGTGTCTGCGCCCTGGACTCCGACACCGGGACGTGTTATAAGGTCACTTTCCTCATAAACTTCGTTATCGCTGTTGGTTTTATTCATTATATTTGACATATTAAGCTTCTGTATCTTGGCATAAAGGACACAATATTGCAGCATATTGGCAAGCTCATTTGCTTTTCACAGTTAGTGTTGTGTCCAAATATCGGTCCCCGGGGAGCGACACGTGTATATAGACTGCAGGAAAATGAGCCTCAGCAGCAGGTGGCCTTTTGCAGCCTAATGAACATGGCAATCTGTTACTATCACGGCAAGGCTTTTCACCAGACAATTAGGCAACTAAGCATGTAATTATTCAGGCCAACAAGAAGAGGCTCTTCTCTAATTTCATCTTTTCATTGCTGTTTACTCACCCACACTCCCCTCATTAATGAGAGATTTTCCAGTCTATGCTAATTGGTTTCAATAACATTCATTTCAGTTGAAAGGGAACGATTCTGTTAATTGAGAACCGAAAGCATCTTTTCATTTCAAGTGCGTCCTGCTATGGAAATCTGAACGCTCTCAACAGGTTCGAGCTAATGAAATTAAGTTACACAGCCACCGCCGGTGTAATAGAAATAAAGTAATTTATTTTCACTGGAGCATGTGCTGTAGGTCCTGAACAATTAATGCAGCTCGTTCTGCAGACCCTTCAGAGAAGGCAGCTTTGGATACATGAGGCTGCAGAGCTGGTGATCAGCCCCGCTCTGGTTAAACCAACAGGCTTGTCGGGATGACCTGGAAATATTTAATGAGAACGACACGCGCTCACGGAAGCACTCATTCCTTAATAGCTTTTGGACAGAAAGCATGCACAAAGTGCACTGTAGTGGGAAGGAGCACAATGATGGGGCTCCCACAACATCATGGCCCCACCAGAACCCATCAGGACCTCGCAAGGACTCCACCAGGACCCCACCAGGTCTCCGCCAGGACCCCAACAAGAGCCCACCTGGACCTCACCAGGATGCCATGTGCCACGCAAGTAATGGCCACAAGGCGTAATTGTATTTCTGCAGCGTTTGTGGCCTGGAAGGAGAGAGGGAAGCAAAAACCTCAAGCACCAGAAACTATTTCTAACAAAAAATGGTGTTCTAAATAATCTCTGTAATTCTTATTTAGGAAAACTTTGGCATGGAAATGCTCATTACCCCACCTGCCTGGTGATGCAGGGCAGAGTGGTGGCTTTGAATAAAAATCCCCCAAACCACATATTTTCTAGACTTCATGAACTTTTAAGGGTGTCTTCCAGATTCTCCTATCCCTCTGGACCCAAGTGGAGCTGCAGAATAGAAAGAAGAGCGATGTTACTGAGACCAACTTTTCTTTTTATCATAGCTGACTCTCATTAACGCACTGCACTGTTCTGAACACCTGAGGCATTATGTCTGAACATGCAGCCCCTCGTGGTGGAGTGGGAGCACTGTGGTTGCCAGCATGCCCACCCTGCACACCCATCCCTGCACTGCTGCACGATCCCTTCATGGTTGTTCCCAAAGGAACCTTGCTTGGGCGCTGCATCCATTTGCATGTGATATACCTTGCAGCTCCTGTTTGCTAAAATGTTGCAGTGGGTTTTGTGCTTAAAGCTGACTTTTCCTTTATAGAAATGGTGATGCTTGTAACTTTGGTCACAAGGCATGGGAGAGAGCAGGATGGGAGCAGGAGCACATAACATACCAGGGAATTTATTCAGAACAAATAACGCCAGCAGAATGCCTCAGCATCCTATTGCCCAGCTCAGAGATGTTTGTAACAAATCTCCTCTGAGATGCGTTTGTAAGTGCAATGCAGAAACTGTTATTGAAGCAATATGAGGCTGGAGCCTGGTGCCGCTCCGAAGACCTGCGCCGTATTTCATCCTTAAGAGCTATCATTTTACTTAGCAAGCTGCTCGCTGCAATTATACAGCGTTTTTCTTGGCCCCCAGCTACATTAAACATCCATTTTATAGCGCTCACCGTATTACCCTGAAAGCCTGGCTCCCGAGCTGGCTTTGTAAAGGGTTATCCTGTAAAAAAGTACACGGCTTCCTCATTAACTTTATGGCTTTATGGCCTCATTTGGGGGCATGGCAGCTCTGCAGGCGGCAGCTCCTCTCCTGTATCCCGCAGCCTTGCCATCGATGCTGTCA